TACATTCCTGATAAACATTTAAATTCTGGCGCTATAGTCATGAAAACCTTGATGAACAGAAGTAAAATCTATTGCCGTCTGCTGCAGTTTTATTTCCCGCCTTTCCAAACAATTCAGTTTTCCATTCATCAATCACGCTATCATTCTTACAATCGTCTGCAGCCAACCACCAACGTAGAATCTGAGCGCGTGCTGGCAAAGCGCCACCTTGTAGTAAGCACGTTGTTATTGATACAAGTTACTACTGAATTATTGTCTAGGGGTGCTTAATATTTTGATGTTTTTACCCACGTTTAACACGGCATAATTACGTGGTTCATGAATCAGACGACTTGTTTGTAGGTGGGGAAACCATTAATGTCGCTCACCAGCAACATCAATCTGTTTACTACGAAATGTTTCACGCACTTGTTGCCGCTCAACAATTCTCAGTTTCTCACCTGCGTCTAGACGGCGTTAATCTGCTTAAAAAAGCTGAAGGCTATTGGGTGCTAGCATATTCAAGCATAAAATCTTTTTGAATTCTACATTTACTTTACTTTTATTTATTCTTGTTTACAAATACTATTGCATAACCTGGAGATAAACATGCATGTAAGAGTACCCTGCATCATTTTATGATAAACAAGAACTAAAAGACAAATGGCGCAGCGAAAAAAATGTCATCCAAAATGACATTTTTTTTATTAATGGCCGTCTGCACATTCGTGTCATTGCGCTGTTTGATTTTGGCAATAGTAGTTATGGCAGGCAAATTCTTAACATTTTTGAACTCGTACAAACAGACTCATAGAATCGTACAAAAAGCTTTTAGATAAGTTCCGAAAGTATATTCTCACTATCATTTGCATAATTTTCTATTTTAATTGCCCCAACTGATCTCAAGTAATAATTTCAAATATATTTTCAAACTTTTGAAGCTCAGCAGTGTTCCCTTTATGAACATTTGGAAATTATTCTTATGAGCTGCAATTTAAGTGATTTTAATTAAGCAGTCCTTAGCACTTCTGATCCACGTGAATCAACATTCCTGATAAAATGTAATGAATTCTGTCATAATTTGCATAACAACCTCAAAGTCGAATATCTCCCCGTTTCTGCATTGATAGTATAATATATAAGAGGTCGTTTTACTCATCTTGTAGCGTGTCGATTTAAGCTTGAGTCCGTAACCGTTAAAGCAGCACTTCTCCACATTCATGCTAATTTTCAGGAAAAAAATTATAGTTCAAAGTTATGCTTTGTCAAGTAAATGTTAGATAGTTTTTTATCCATGAAAACTACAAAATAAAGGTACAGATATGCAAAAAAAAAAGCCTTAAATGCGTTAGTAACGTAGTAAAATTATGGCGATAAATATTGCAAGATCAGTCATTCAAAGCATATAACATGTAAATCATTACTTGAATTGTTAATTCAATGTATTTTTATTTTTCTTAAAATCTTAGTTCATTTTGCTCAAAAATTATTTGCTTTAAAAATAGAGAGAAAGAAAAGGCTCATCTGGAAGATTGCAGCTTTAACAAAACAGAGGGTTTTTATCTGACCGATGATATATTAATAATGGTTTAATTGACACACCTAGCCGGATCAATACCTATTACCGAAACGTAGAGCCGTAGAATAATTAACCTAATTCTTAACGCGAATAGCTGAACTCCACCGGAAAAAAATGATTTCCGCAAGACATATTTTTAAAGGCATCAAATATGTCAAAACTCGAAACTTGGTTAATTAGTTTAATTTAAAAAAAATCGTCGTTATATGATAAAAACTGAAAATTGTAAAGAAAACTATAAACATGGTAAAAAAGAAACAGATTTAGATCAAGAACCTCCGTGCAAACAGAACGGATACACTTTTTTGGACTAACCTACACTACAAAATTTAAAATTCTTAACAAAAAGCAAGTAAAATCAAAGATTTGGTGACTTCGTTTATTTTATTGTATCGTGTAAAAGTTGACTTTATAAAACTGACTTTTAGTAAATTTCTAGATAATTATAAAAGCAAAAGTACAAATTATTATGTGTTTACTAACCGGAAGTACAAAATGAATCGCCTGTTGACAATGAGCATTTTAAATTTATTCTGATTGTCAGACAAAATGTTTCAATCATAATTTCAAACGAATATAAATATTAAATATTTTTATACAAAGACCATATACATGACAAACTATTTCTTATCAAAAATCTTTATAACAATATTAAAATACAGGAAGCCTCCATGAGGAAATAGAATTCGTCATAAATAGGCAGAAGCCGTGTAGATTTTATAAACGTCACGAAGCGAACATTAAATAGAGGATATTGAATGAGTGTAAGTTCAATACTGAAATTATTGCACGAGTTGAATAAAATTATATTATGCGAGCCTCTGGCGAGCATAATTTTATTTTATTTAACGAGTGCAATAAATTCAGACGAGTAATGAATTTACACGAATTTAATATTCTATTTATCACATACCAAAAATAAAGACCGTTTAGGGTGAAATTATAGTCAAATTTCATTGACGCGCCTATAGTATAACACTAACATTTAGCGCGTCTTTACGCTATGTTTGTAATGACGTCACGTCAAGATATATGCACGGCCGTGCAATACCATATTTACGGAGTCGCAACATCGGCACGGGTGTGTGATAAAGTCGTTTATTGTATGACGGATATCTGTAGTTCAACGTTTCAAAAAGGACTCTATATTAGAACATTACAAAATTTTAATGTAAAGACAAACATCTTGCTTTTATTAAATCTACCATGTTTAATCAATTATCACCTGGCATAAATGTTTACAAGATACATCGATTTTGCAGTACCGGATAACCTTTGTCTCAATCGGACAGCATTAATATAAATTTTCATAATACATAAGCAGTCAAGTAGAGCGTTTGACTGTGAATCGGGCGATCCGCGTTCGATTCCCAAATCGTTGTAATTGATCATGAAATTCTTTCTACGGTCATTCGCACTGTACCTCTGCTCTGGCATGTACAGCGCTTTCCATTCCTTGCGAAAGTGACGGGAACTAGTACTGGTAAACTGCTTGACAGCCTGTCAAGGAACGATGCGTTGGTTGGACTGTGCTCTGGTGAAATCAATGTGGCTTACTTTCATGATCCGGAGTGAAAACTACCAACACCACCACCACCTTTATAACACATATCTGGCCAAAGTATTTTCATATTCCCCTAAGAAAAGAAATCACGCCTTTGGCTTACCCCTACACTGTCGGGTACGTGAAACGGTGCAGATTTTTCGTGATACATTCAAGATGGAGGAAGGTAATATGAATTCAGACAAATCCGTTTTATATTGTAAAAAGAAGAATAGTGGCATGTAACGTAAAAATAAGTTCACTATAAGATCAATAAGTTCACAATGTATTTTACATATGCTATAATTATATGAATTTTTTACTATGAGTTTTGCCTTAAATAAAGAAATTATCCCTTTTCGGATTTGTGCGGATGGTATACTAGTAATTTGTATAATGAACATCCTAATGCCGCCGGATCTGTATCAATCTTATGATATGTGTAGTAGATGCTTTTTGTGATTTATCAAACGATGTTCTCCGTTGATAAAGGTAATAAAAAGAGTCTATCAAATCTAAATTTGAAACAGAAACTCTAAATGAAACTAATAAAAGAGATTCATGACGTATGACAAGCATGTCGCATACAATGTTATAATTAGTTGGGTTTTTTTTAGGGCGGGGGTCATTCAAACAATTCCGGTTAAAACACCAAATGTCACGTACACGTTTTAATATTAGCAATGACGCTCCTTTTCCACAGGTTTTTCTCCTGTTTTGGGAAAATGTTTAAGTATACGTATGCCTCAAATATAACCATAAATTTATTGTGTCTATTTTATGAGATTTTATTGATCAACAAGGTGGCGGATGAAAATAAAAATACTTAATGACACGTGGATATAAAAAAAATAAAGATGCAAAGTTGTTGGCGCTTGAAAATAAAATGCCAAATAGCGCGTGATAAAAGTAAAATAGCTCACAGTTATCGGGCACAATTTTAATTTCATAAACTTGAAATTGTCAACAATATAATATGAAAAAGGCAAAGCCTCAAAGCGAGCTCGATTTACTTTTACTGTGAAATAGTATAAAATAATCGTTCATTTTTATTTTACATTTTCCGTTTTCAAATTGTCATACAGTATTTTTTACACTGCTTCCGTTCATTTTGGTTCCCTGTCCAATTATGATTCCCATAAGTGACCAGGACACCAGTTTACGCTTCCGTTTTCAATCAGAATACCTCGGGTTTTTTTAATCTTGTAATTCGAACAGTTTCGATGTGTTTACTTCGGAACCATCACTTTCTAGCAGGTACTCGCGTTACCGTAAAGCTCGCTTTGCGAGCAGGCCCTTTGGGCAAGCTCTTCGAGTTCGCTATAAACTGAAGTCGATCTATACTTTACTGCAGAAGAATATCAAGTATCGTCAATAAATAGAACGTTTAGCATAACTCAAAATATTTCAACATAAATACTGCGGCGTCTTTAAAAATGTTATAGGCTCCATGACGCTGCCCGACAGAAATCAACAAATTATATGTCTTAAACATATGCATGTATGTGAAAGAATAAAGAAAAAAACATTTACAAGTCAAATTACCTTTCAATATTCAACACCATGGTCGCTCAACGACCTGTAATGTGGACTGTCACTACATTACTCTTATTCTATTTTTTTTAATGATGAGTAATTTATCAAAAATAGGTCTATACATACTTATGAAATGCATCCGTAAAACTTTTCAAAAACCCGACAAATTATAAAAAGTAAATAACTGTAGATATTTCATTAAGTTTTGCAGCCTGCTAACCAATAAACAACTTATACCTACTAACTGGTAATATGAGCAGACGATATTTCCCCGCCTTTTCTGAGGTATTGTCTAAGTTTTTTCTGACCACCTGCGAGACGAGTAAATTTCCATTTTACGCACCTCATAAATACGGTTTCATCATCCAAAGCGAGTCAGACGGCAATTGACGCAGGAACTAGTAACTTCTAATTCGCTTCATTCTTCAGATGTTAAATAGTGTTAGTGACTGTAATGTCTATACGTAGAATATATACGGCATACTTATAGACACATTTGAGAATATTAACTTTTGATGAAAAAAAAATTACGTGAAAGCTATTACAATTTAAAAGCTGTCAATACGATAGATCTCGGTGATTTTAGTTGTACATTCCATATTTTTTTTAGATAACTTTTACTACGATCAACATAATTATTCACTTCAGCAGACGTGAAGTTAAGTTTACAGACGACAAAACAAAATGCAGTTTTATGACTATATCATAGTTTTTGCTTTATTCTGTGAGTTTATTTTTTGTCAAGACAATCAAACGTTGTCGTCTGCGACAAGGCCAGTCCAGACAACCGCTAATTCTACATCGACAGAAACAACTTTAGTGCACAGTCCGACGGAGTCCGTGGAAGATAATTCAGATTCAGACGAGGTTGACACTAATCGTGATGAAAGACTTCAAAGGTAATTATCTATAACATAATTATGATTTATTTTGGATTCATTTTTCTTCTTCTTCTTCATCTTCTTCTTTTCTTAAACAACATAGTTATAGTGTCATGTACATCATATAATTACAAACATAATATTTACATTCAAAATATTGGTACCCGACCCAGTGGGCCTATAAGACATAATTTATACTAATTAATACATGGTTATGTTTAACAGTAATATTTGTTTCAAATGTAGAACAGTACATTCAAAACGTAGATTATAATAATAAAATCATTTGCAAAAGTTAGTTTTTTATATGTTGACGATGAGCAAATGTTTAGAATAATCATATTTACATTTTAAGGATATTATAAAGAAATTAATGTATAATTATAGAAAAAAATCAAATCAATACATTTAATCTAATAAATCAAACTACAAGAAAATACGTCCTTTTCGACAGGTCGAAAGAATTTATTGAAAATCTTGAGTAAAACGAAACTTAAAAATTCATATTCCTTTTAAAAGGTTTTATCTCACTGCGATTGTTGCAATTTTTTCATAAAAAGGGAAACTTTAACATGAAATAATATCACTGCACTAATCAATTCAATATATCTTTTTATAAATATTATAATATTTTCATTATTTACACTCCATTTATCACTTTTATTTATTTTTATTTATTTATTTATTTATTTATTTATTTTGATTTTACAGTGAATTTTTTTTAACTATGAAAAAACGCTTAATTTCATACAATTTAAACAAAATGTTATTGCAAATGTATGATTTTTTTTTTTTATTTTAATGTTTAATTTGTTTAATTAAATTTTCTTCTATTAATGAAGGTCCCATTTATATTTTCTTCATAATAGAATAGATTTTATAATACAATATGACTTGAACATAACAGTTCCTCGTCATTACACAAATATACAGCATACATTAAATACAGCGAGACTGAAAATTTTGTATTATCAGTAATATATATATATACACACATTTTCATTTCTGATACTAAATTATGATTTATTACAAAATATTGCTATTAAAATTATTTGTATTACATGTCTTTTTTTTTAAATATCTTAATCAGATATTTGATATTTTCTAAAGAAAGAAAGAAAGTTGTATTTTTCTAAATCGACGCAGAAGGAAAATGATAATACATTATGATGTACGGGTAGATGTTCTTTGTGTCTTGATCTGACATATAATTTACCAAAATAATTACTACACTTGTTTTATTCCTTTTTGTACAGTGTGCAAATGAGGAAAGGCATGTTGTAGTAACTCAACTAACTTGTTTTAAAATAAGGAAGGCGCAATTTGAATTTTAAAACTATTACTTTTTATGCGAATTTCTGTTACTATTACATTCATTTATTTTTCTGTTGATTGTGGTCAACAACCTTCAACCCTTCTAAGGTCAATGCACGGACGAACTTGAAGTAAAATATGCACCAACAATGCGCCCGTGCAGGTATGCGTCTATGACCCCAGACTTAAGGTTAAAGAAAATTGAGAAAAACAACCGATATTTTTCTTTTTCGCAGCGGTCGTTGCCTCTGAAGAGTATTTTAAAGTACATCATGCGAAAGATGACGTTTTGGCCAGAAAAAGAAATATTATATTGATAAGTGTTTCACACCAACATACGTCACTACGGTTATTGCCTGTCGAATTTATGTAATTTAAACAGGAACAAACTTTTCAACGTTTAAGGGATTTAAACGGCAACTGGATTTCTTATTTATCTTCCATTTCAATTCTATATGAATAACCATTTGAAACCAAAATGGTCTTTGTCTATGTTTTATTAAGAAAAAGAAACTCTTTAAAATGAAGGTGTTACTGCATAACGTGGGCATTTATGGTTATGATCTTTCAAGTATTACATTTCACATTGGCAATACACACATACAGTTTACATTAAGTGAAATTATATATGGTTAGTTTAAAAATCTATAGACCTTGAACATTTCATACCTCATGAAGAAAACGTAGCAAAACGTTGCAACGTAACTTGATGAAGTCATAATAAAAACCGCGTGACGTTGCGCGATTCAGGGTAAAAATAATGTTTAAAAGATGAAAAAATTTAAATTAGATCATATCAAAAAATCACTTTACTTCTGATGTTTCACCCATGAGGTTCCGACATCGAGATAATCAATACCGTATCTAGTTCTTCTTGGTTCAATTTAATATTAAAGACGCATTGTAAAGTACTAATAGCGCGTCTAGTGTGGGAGTGCGGGGATGGTTAGGTTTCTTTACATAACAAAAACAGTTCAACTAAATACATGTATTACGGTTGTCGTATTTCACTGTTTTTAATTTAAATAATACAGAAATGATAAACTGTGTTACAATAACATTGAATTCAAGATAAACCTCTCACAGAATAAAGCATTGAATGATCCATTGTCATAACATTGCAAAATAACCTACATCAGTATCTGACTTAAGGTAAAACCGCAGATAAAGATGACTCAGACCTTAGTTGTTAGTGGACATTCAGGAAAAACCACAAACATTTTGGCTTTTTATAATATGACCCTAACAGGGTGAGGTCACATATTTGATATTTAAACTATGTGGTAATCCACTATTCAAGTTTAGATATTGTAAAATTGACCTTCCGCTCTTCAGGTCATACAGAAGTGGGCGCCAATGTACGGGTAAATGATTAATTGAATTCCGAAAGATGTAATGTTCATCTGCCCCTTAACTCCTTATGACCTCAGTTCTGAGGTCATAGCCGATTGACCTTAAGCAGGTCATTTGAGGCTTTGTGTCTTTCAGATCAACAGATTATATGGGATGGTCATTATAAATACAGTTTAATTAACCAGTGGGGATATAAGGTTATGCTACGAGCTGCCTGTTAGAAATACGTTACACTTGTGCAAGGTCCACACAGCATTAGATAATGAATAACAAATTAATATAGGAGAGCCAATAAAATTTGATATCGTGTTATAATTTTTTCATATAAAACGTTATTTTCCCTCACCTTTTTGCTTGTTGTTGTTTTTTTGTTGTTGGTTGTGGTGGAAGTGGCGGCGGATACGAAACCGGCTACTGTTGCTGATGTTGTTATTGTTAGAAAACATTTCCCTTGCTAAATGAAAATGAGAATACGAAAACAAACCTTGATTTATTCTATTCGGAGCATTGCGATATTTCTATATTTACAAGTGATCCAACCTATAACCCCGTTTTTCGATGATAATTAGTTATTGTTCTCCTACAGAAACTGACTTATTTCAGCGGGAAAAAAACGAGCGTCTGTTTTCAGTTTATCGGATTACATCTTTTCACACAATTCTTACTTTTTCGCGGATTAACCTTAAATTTCTTGCCCCTGGCTGATTTGATATTATCTGGCAGTAAGTTAGTCTAAACAGGTATGCCAATGCCAGTCAATATGCGTTCTTCGTTATTTGATACGGTCTTATATCCAAAGTTGTTTACTACGGCGGAGATAATCCGAGTATCTGATAATCTTTATACAATATTGGCGCTTGTACTCAGTGTTGAAGTAACCCCATCAAGGTCGATTGAGTCAATTAAGATCAAAGAGAAGTCCGTAATCATAACAACAGTGTTAAAAGCACACAGTAGGCTCTGTTACGAATATCAGGGCATGACTTGCCGTTGCTGTTATTTTGCTTCATCAGGTGAGGGTCAAACTGATTTATACATATACTCAGAATAAAAAGAAACGGAGCATGAATGTATTCGAAATGTTTCCAGCAAAACATGCCAGGAATCGCCATTCGAAACATATTTTGTGTGTATGTGTGTGAAATAGACTTGCTTAAGAGAAATATTCCGAATATTGTTAACCTCCATACTGGTTTCGAGCTTCGTAAATGAAGACAGTATTACAATTTTATATATAGGTAACCCGACATAAACATGGCAGATGACTTGCCCCGTAGACGCCTTTTTTCCACTTGGTAATAAATTCTCCGTTTATTGGCTTAGGGCAGACGGTGTACGGGTAGAGATGGTCAAATCTTGTTCGCTAATCTGGTTCATTATTTACTACATTTACGTTAAGTTGAAATGAAATGACAAATTGAATGAAATCAGATAAGAACAACAACGTTAAGTACTTAATAAAATCGTCAGGTTTTACTGCTTAAAAGGTAATGTAAACAAACTTCTGATATCTTTTATCCTTTTTTTTTACGTTTAAACTTGTATATGCCTAGTCTAAAGATTCACGTGCATATTGCCTTAATTATAGATATTGTCTGAAATACAGATAATTTGTGAAATTATCCACACATTTAAATATGAAGCATGACCAAAATTAACTTGATTAGAATAGTACGATAAAGTATCAATGTTTTCTGCTTGTATTCTGGCATGAAGTGGGTGTGGTATGTGTAAGGTCAGTGGCGCCTAATGCTACTGCGCTAATTTCAATTTAGCTTGAAAGAAAGCTTGATATTTTCAACTGAAAAAAAGGATTGTTTTGAAGAATAAAAACATTTTTTTTGTATTTTACTAAATAAGTCCACAAATATTTTGATCGTTATATTATTTTACATTATGTCGCCATATCACCTCTTTTCAAAATCTATTGGCACTAGAGTTTTATTGAGTGTGTAGATTACCCTAATTAGAAAGAAAAAAGGTCTACATAAAAAGTGGCAGAATGTTTACTTTTTACTGTAAAGACAGTTTAATAACAAATATGAAAATAAATAATTAAATCAATTGAGGCGATTAAAAGACTTTAATTAACCGTAAAGAATGAAATTTACATATCAAAGTGTGATACTTATTTTTTACAGAACAAAAATGTTAGAAAAAAATCATAGAATTTTTTCTAAGTAGAGCACTGTGGGGGCGGAAATGGGTTGCGGTTGCGGTAATAGCTCCTGGTGAGATGTCTGATGATAAGAATAATTTCGTCACATGGTTATAGTTATCATAGTCACGAATAGTTCAAGTACACGTGTAACATTTGTACTAAATGACCGAATTCACAAAAACTCTCTTTTGCATGATCAAACAACAAGGCGTAATTTTATTCATAAGTTGGATTGATTGAATCTAAATTTCAGAACTTTGAGCAATAGTATAGTATGTTTTATTCTACATGTATGTTTGTTGTTTGTTTTGATCTAGTTGAAGTAGCATTTTAGTCTGTGGCAACATTTTAGTTTCGTTTTGGCCACAGTTATTTGCTATTTAGAACCACGGATTTATATTACAAATATATAAATACATATTATGTAATATAAATCCGTGTAAGAACTTTGAAGAATAAACAGAGGGAAAAGAGCGATTAAAGTAATAAGGTACAGACATGTACCACTACTCAGAGTTCGACCACGAGGTAATGTATATGTGAACATCAGATATATGATTGTAAACAAACATATACATTTCTGCTGAATACATAAATACTGTTTATTGATAATTGAATCAGAAGATAAGTTATATATAATTTCGGGTAGATCTAAAAATAAATAACTATAAATCTATTTATGCGCTTCTGAGTGAGAAAGTACCAGAGTGAGTCCTATGGTCAAATCCGGTCCCGTCATTGAGTACAAGCATCCATGATAATGGAATACCCGTTATCATATAAGATCCAGTCTTCAGTTTATGAGAAATCTAAGACCATTATGACCCTCTTGTAATGATATAATGTATACTAGAAAAAACAACTGTTTGCATTTATCATAAATGGAACAGCATTTGAACCGCGCCATGACAAAACCAACAAAATGGGTTTGCGACCAGCATGGATCCAGACCAGCCTGCGCATCCGCGCAGTCTGATCATGATCCATGCTGTTCGCTATCAGTTTCTCTACTTGTTATAGGGTTTGTAAGCGAACAGCATGGACCCTGATGAAACTGCGCGGATGCGCAGACTGGTCTGGATCCATGCTGGTCGCAAACCCATTATGTTGGTTTTGTCATGGCGCGGCTCATTTGTACTACGTTAAATCATCCGCATATGGACTATTTTCGGAGCCTAAGACTTCTTAAATTGTGGAATCGAACAACATCGAGGTAAACAAAACTTTATCAAAAACCATCAAAGTACTAAAAGTGCTACAGTTCAAGAATAAACGATTAGATTTTTTTTGTTATTTCAGGTCAAGGGCTGCGCGCATGTATTTCCTCCGACAGCACGTGCTAGACTCGCTAGGATGGACAAGCCCACCGGATATAGACCCTGAAACGAAGAGACGCTTGCTTCTTGGTATGCAAACGCCTGTTTACGTAACCAGGCAGAAGCACTGCTACTTTCCGGCATGTGAGTAAATGATACTTTCATATGGCTATTTTGGGGTCATTTAGTTTTTATCATTTGGAACCGATGGCAGGCGATGATCATATTCAGCTCATAGCAGTTGATCTGTTGATATGCCAGTCATGTAAATATCTTAATTGAACTTTAAGATATACATGTGATGAGAATAAAAATCATATTTGCGTGTTTGTATGTGTTTGTTCGTACGTTCGTGCGTGCGTTCGGTCTTTCGTTTGTAATTTATTAGTACAGTTGAACTTTTGGATGCCTATGTTTCCAATAAATAACAGGAAATTAAAACTTGGACAAATAACGTCTAGACTGTTGTCTGATATCTATCAAGTTGTTAATTAGCATGACATTTAAAGGATAGACATGTACAATATCATAGCGATTATTTTGAAGACAAATACCATAACATCAAATTTTAACTTTTTGACGATCAGTTTAACTAACCCGACGATCAGTTTAACTAACCCTACAACACCACGCAAATTGAGTTTCAGAATTTAGAGGTAATTAAACTACTTTCAGGTGATTTACCAATGATCGATCTACCAGATTACATGAATCGATCGATTTGGTTTGACACCAGTTCAAGAAACATTCGATACTTTTTTGCAATACCCAGTAATCCTGATCCAAATCTAGATATAACATCAGCTGTTGTCAGACTCCATTTAAAACGAAGAGAAGGTAAGTTAAAGAATCTTTAAAAATGTTATATGTTCAAGGTATATATATGAACGAGGAGTGTTCAAATATGAATGCATCTAGAACGTTATATTGTTCAATATTGTGAAAAACACAAGGAAGTTAAGAATATCGGGATGATATACATGTTAGCTTTAAATTGATAACACATTCATTAAAATCCGTTTACTTATTTTTCGTATACTGTAATACACAAACTGGTTGGTAGAAGATCAGAGTATGCCGCTGAATACGGTCTTATATCAGAAATCGTTGTCTCCTTAACAATGGTTGTAAATACAATTGTGATGACATCTATGCTGTATATGGACGAAATGAAATGTCTCTTTGGTTTAATAAATTCAAATGTGCGTTAATTCCACTGAAAATGCACCCAATGCCCGTCGGTCTAAACCGAAACGTCTGTCAAGATGGTTGCTAAAATGAAAGAAATAGTTCATACCAAGGCAAGATACATCACTAGGAAAATAGCAAGTATCGCGTACATCTCATAAAGAGCAACTTGATTTGAAAATGAGAAAGATCTGTGCTAGATGGATACCCTATTTGCTTACAGATAAGCAGAAAAAAATGTTGCTTAAACAGTATCTAAATAACAATGCACGATATTTTGCAAATGTCGTCACTGGTAAGTGATGACGAAACATAGGTTCATTTTTATGAGCCAAAACTGAAACACCAAAAGAAGATTCGGGCAACGAAGTCTGGCAAAAGACCATGCGTTGCAAAAAGGACCATCAGTATAAATAAGGCAATGTATTTTCTCTTACAACTCAGGGTCCCAAACACTTTCGAAATAAGTTTTGTCAGTGTCAAAGCTACGAAAATACGTTTCAGGTCGAATATTTGTTTATCGAACACACACTGGTTCTGCAATATTCCAATGTCTTCCTATTATACCTAGAAAAAAATAAGATTATGAAAATTCCTTCAAAGGTTTGATCCGGATGCTGAACCTTTGTGTGGGGTGAATACTTAGAGGAAACAAAATAAAACAATTTAGAATTTTACGTGCCTGAATGCATTCATATTTGAACACTCCTCGAACGATTGTTTTTGCTATGTTTTTGTTTGTATGTGTTTGTTGGTTCTCCGGAAGTAAATTTATAGTGGAGGTTCCGCAGTAAAAAAATCATACCGCTGTTTCAACTCAGTTTGATCTCCTCCGTTATTATGCGACACAATATACGGGGAAGACCGCTGTTTTACGATTGTGTTTAAACTAAGAGATGATCATAAATATCTTTTTTTTAATTTACAGATTGCCCCTGTGCATACGACAGTGATCACAGTACATCTAGACTGCATATAAAGATTTACCAGTACAGAAAACCTATCCGATCTCACGCTAGATGTAAGTTTATCTTTATCAGTACTGAAAGAAAAAAACATTAAAATTCCATTCCAGATATAAGTCAAGTAGTTTTTTAAGATCAATGCTAGATATCAGGGTAAGTGCAGATTTACTAGAACACCTATCATATCGCATGTCTTTAACTTAAACAGAAAACAGGAAATATCACATGTCAGATGTAACTAATATTTAAATGTAAAATATTACATGTCAGGTGAAGATTATGTTCAACTTGTTCAGAAAACCTTAATTGTCGCATGTCAGATGTGCGTTTTGTTTCACTAGTTCAGAAAACCTTAAATATCGCATGTCAGATGTGAGTTTTGTTTCACTTGTACTATAGCATGTCAGGTGTAAGTAAATATTATTTTGTAAAAAAATGTCAGGTGTAGTACATTGTACAGAAAAACACTGTATAGTAAGCTGGCATGTCAGAGATACCAGCACAAAAAGCGTATAAAATGGTGGTCTCCAAGCTGTAATGGAAGATTTGCTTGTACTTAATATGCAAAAAAGAGCTAGTTGAGAACAATATTTATAACAACATAATGATCCTAGATCAGTATGAGGTACAAACGTCACAAACTTTCTTTCTAATGATGGATTGAGAGTTGGTTATTTACAATGATATAAAAAAAAGTACGATTACTGACTGGAACAATTTTATAATACTTTTGTACATCTTTTATATTCTAGTGCGCCACAGCAACATGCGTTTAATTGATGCTAAGATGGTCACCTGGGATAGCGCGCGCTGGGTATCTCTGCACGTGACTGAAGCCGTAAAACGAATTGTGACCAGGGGAAGGAGAAATGGCGGATTTGAAGTACATGTAAGGGACATGGAAGAAAATATTCTTGATGCTAAAACAGTCATAGACCCTACAGTGTGTACAACTGTAACTGGTAAGGAAACATTGTTTGCATAGCTGCATAAACTTACTAGCGTTTGGTTATTTGTGCACATTTAATTTAAAAACTATGTTGTTAGCTATTCCGAGACTTATTTTAATCAGTTGGATATTGTTGTTGTAGAAAAAACTTCAAAGTAATAACAATATATTTATAGATGTAATAGATGTAATATGTAAAAATTTTGAAGAAATTAGGAGGTATAAAATATACTGTTTTAGAGTACGAGTGCACTCAAGAGGAGGCTGTCTACAATGAAGATAACAGTGAGCCTGATGACCCGAATTTCTCCCCTGTACTAGAAATAAGCTCGACCACAACAACACGGCTTGACAGTAAGTATTGACCGAAACTAAATTAAAATGTACCAGTAAATAGATTTGGTGCCTTAACTGCTGAATATGAGTAAAAAAACACATCCATCTGACCAAGTTCTACCACAATAAAATTAGGGGAATCAATCCAGCCCAAGAGTTAATAAATGTTATATCATCATTTACCCAGCTCTCTTGCTTATCTGGTCTTATACGGCTGCGATTATGGGGATACAAAGCGGAAAGTCTAGAGTGAATGTCGAATTGAGAATGTATAATAATTGTACAACTTTAGTGTAGTAGTCCGACTAGTTGTTTAAACAAAACTTTGAATTCTTCGAATTCGGACAAGTCCATTGTAAGCTTGAAGAATTGAAAACATTAATACTTCATCAGAGCCATTATCAGTTTACAACTTCCTGTCAGACTTACAGGCCATTGTGTTGTTAATCGTTATGTTCCAACATCATTTATTACAAAATAATATGTAACAACTTTGTTTCATTTTTCAGTATCGTGAAGTGCGAATCGAAGGAAGAGAAATAAAGGAAAATGAAAATGATTTATTTTACATTGCAAAACGTATTAACACTATACTAGTGCTTAAAACTGATTAAATTATTCATAGTATCTACATGAAAGCCGGTGAAATTATTATTAAAGTGTCAGTGGAAATGATCTTGTCAGCGAGGCGGCAAGGAAAACTGTTTTATAATTATACTGCATTTTTGAATGTATTACTAAGATCTCTTTTGATTGGTGGAGCTAAAGTATGCGTCAACATGTGCACGTTACACTTTCCCAAACAACTTTTGTCGCTCGTTCTCTCGTTGTTGTATGTTTTCTTTAATCAAAGCCCTCAGTCACTCATCAACAGAATCAAGTTGGTTGAGATCTGCTTTCGATCTTATAGAGACACTTGTTGCAAATTTTAAACACTTGTGGTTAATTTAAGATATACAATTATTCAAAAGATTGTTATTATCAGATGAGAGAAATGACATCGAAAGTGTCGGGCGCGCCTGCTGGCGACGTAAAATGTCAGCTCTGTTGTAAAGCATTGTCAAATATTTGAGCGCAAGCTTATATAAGATGCCCATTGTTCATTCACTACCTCATTTAAAGTTTTGATTATTCCAAGGAACTTGTCTTATTAGTGTTCTGTACATTTTTAAAAAGTCGTTGCATGATATATATGTGGTCATCTGTTTGTATTCTTGTATTATATCATGTCATACGTTGTATATATATTGCCTACAAAAACACTATTTCATTTTGGAAGTAATTTGTTTTTGAGCAGTCATTTGTATCTGTAATGAAAGTAACAAACTTTAGTAAAATGAGCAAGTACATGATAATTATCTTTGTTTAGTCTCATAGAAACATTTTTATTTAGTTAATATACAGCACAAAGATAATAAAAAGATACTCTGTAACATGTACACTTTTTTTTTTCTTTTCCGCGACTAGTACATTATTGCTTCAAATTTTAAAGTTATTGTTCTTTCATAAACAAGCGCTGCTCATGGCGTAACAATATTTGTCACAAACATTTTGCTCGTCGTCGATCTTTCATTATCTAAACATGCTATGTCTAGGTCCATTAATTGTCAATTAAGTATATCGTGGATGACTATTTACATGTATAAAAAGTTTTTGGATGTCAAATTACACGCCTTTTCGAAATGAATCATATTTTCTTTGAAATTATTTAAGACGACTAAATCATTTACAGAGGTCTGTCCGCATGTTAAATTCATGCCATTGTTGTTATGTTTTTGTTGTCTTGTAGTAACATTCATCGCAGTCATTATATAAGCGCTGAAGAAGCCGGTGCAACGTACACTTTTCATTGTCTGCTATTTTAACTTCTAAAACGTTGTATAGAAAACTCATGACGAATTTTCAGTTGTTAAAACTTTTTTTTTTTTCAGTGTTTATGTGCTTTTTTCAGTCACAAAAAGTTGTCTTTGCATCAATTGCAATTATGCCTTAACTTTAAACGACAATTGTGCTTTAACATTGATCGACAATAGTGCTTTACTTTGATCACCAATTGTGCTTTACCTTTGATAACTTTGATTTACAATTGTGCTTTAACTTTGATCGCCAATTATGCCATAACTTTGATCGACAATTATGCCTTAAATTTGATCGACAATTGTGCTTTAACTCTGATCGCCAATTATGCCTTAACTTTGATCGACAATTGTGTTTTAACTTTGATCGCCAATTATGCCTTAACTTTGATCGACAATTGTGTTTTAACTTTGATCGACAATTATGCCTTAACTTTGATCGACAAATGTGCCTCTTTAAGTAAAAAATAGACGGTAATATACTCACATGACCTACTTTTATCAATACTGTCATCATTTGTACATGTAATATGTTAATTTATTTTGATTACAATGTATTTTTCTTTGTTGTTTTTGCTTCTTTTTTATGAAAATAAAGTGTTGTGGCAGAATAAATCGTTGTTTTTTTCCCTTTATAATAACAAATCATATACCATTTTCTGTGACGTATGCTCTGTCCGATAGTTAAACATATTTTCTTTATTTTTATAAATGATTGTCAGATCTTCCGAGGACTGTCATGGTACTTTTTTATTTCAAACTTATTTCTTGTTTATCGTTTACAAGAAAAATGCAGGAAACTTGATATCACCACCGTATATAGTTTTCAGTTAGTTCCGTTTCTTTTCCTGAACTGCTGCTCATATAATATCGTACACAAAGTCGCAAGGAGGGGTCCCCCGAGGTCTTCCTCCATCTCGCATTTAGTAAAGTCCCATCCATCACTTGGAGGGGATCAAGTGTTTATTATAACGCCATAGTAATATTGGACACTATCTTTAAATTACTTTCAATAAAAAAAGAAAGCATATTTATAAAAAAAATTCTTCGTAAGTCTTGTTTTATAAGTTATTGAATATCGTATCGTATCCTCTTTCAGAAGGTCAAGTAAGTTGGAAAGAATTAGCAGATTTTTCTGCAAGAATGGTTTGGAGATTTTTTAACGACTCAGTATTCAGACATTTTTATTATCTAATTATGCCAGCTACATGTATAAACTCTTTCAGTTCTAAAATTCACAATGAACATAATTAACAATCAGCCAGTAGGTTCAAAAGTCAACTCAAATTGTTTTAATTTTATTAATTCTGCAGAGCTTTGAACAAAACAAATCTTTCAGCTTGGATTTTGGGAATGTTTGTCGCATAAATATAACAAAATAATGACCACATGACCTTTGCAATGTTGTAGTATCGAAAAGTTTATATTAAGATCTGCTATAGAAATATATTCGCTAATCATGAATCCGTAGACTGGTGATCTTCGAATATACTGAAAATAAGAAGCCCGAGAATTGTAAAGATCTGACTCCATTATAACGATATATTCAATGGAATCAGGACTTATGAAGCTTGAACGATGGTAGCTTTTCAACACTGACCTTTAAGTAATGCGCACTGCAAACTCAACGTGTGAAATCTTATAAACCATTCTTTAGGGCGCATAAAACACATGTTGATACTGTATATATGATCCGTATACGTATTAATACTTGTACTCTTCGAACACATTTTAGAGTCATTTCACTATCCCTTGTTTTATAAGACAGTCTATATCAGTATCCGTCATCTCTAACAACTCCATCAACACCTCTCGTGTATGCTCTCCAAGTAATGGTGGAACGTGATTCAATACAGTATCTGTAGCCCCAAATTTCACAGCCGGACCTATCAAATGATAAATAAAAAATAAAATGTTGTTATATGATATTATTCAAAGTCAAAAACAGAACATTTCTTTTACTTTACTTTGTATATTTCTGTTTGCATGTAATAACATTTTATGCACGTCTGGACCATTGATGTATGCGCAAAATGTGAAAATAATAAGATTCTGGTTTAAAATCATACATACAAACAAATGTATCGTATCGAAAATGTATTTATGGCTATTATGTGATAGTTGCTGCGGGAAGTCAAACTGGTTTTCTGTTGTAAAGGATATTTGTACTCTAATGGTTTCGGATATATATGGAAAGACCCATTGAATATTAACGCGAATATATTTGTTCCAATTTTCAAAGTTCAATTTTACATCTATACTATGCAGGGGCAGAGAAAATTTTAACAACAGGGGCAAATTTAGACAGCTTTTGTAGAGGACTTATAGATGATATTATATACCAAATATCAAAGCTCCAAGCCTTGTAGTGACCCAAAGGCTATAATTTTAACAATCTTGGTAGATGTCTACCAAACAATCTTTTATGCAAAATATCTATGTTCTAGGCCGTGTGAGTCTTTACAAGAGATTTTTTTTGAGATTTTTTTAAATTTATTATTATTCCTTTTGGTTGCCATGGCAACCATATTTTTGTATGGAATCAAATTCTTTGAACAACATTAGAAGCCCTTTGCCAAAGAATAAATCCTGCCAAGTTTGGTTGAAATTGGACAAGTAGTTTTTCAAAATTAGATTTTTTAAGTCTATATAACAGTTTTAGAAAAGTTACATAAAGACATCTCACAAAATTACATGGGCTGTCTTAATTTTAGTTTTTCTGCTGTGGTGGCATAAAAAAGAGGAAAATCTGACCGGCCAAATGCGGTTTAATGTAGTATTGGTGATTCGACAGTTTTCCACAAATAACGTCACGTTAATTATCACTTAGATACACATTTCAATAACTGAACATTTTGCTAATTATATCTATATTATGAGATATGTTGTATATTTTGTGAGTGAAAAAAAGTCATTATCATAAGCGTCTGAAACAAAATCATTTTTCTGTTCCCAAAACTTTAATATATTATGATGTGGATATTTATCAATCTAGATCCGTAAATCTAAAATTTAGACAATCCATATGTAACATGTCTTTATGTATTTTTTTCTAAAATTGTTCAAGTAATAATATTGAGTCAATATTAAAACGCCGCAGTAAGCTTTTATAACACTTGCACATTATATAACATTGCCAACATTAATATTTACTGTCCCATGACTTTATAAATTCCATCAATACATAACATTTTGTATAACAATTCAGTCTTTGGAATTATCTCTTACAGTTGCCAATAAATGAATTATCAGCCTGTACAAGAAAAAGAAATTAGTCAAATTACAGCTTCAAAGGTTTTTCTCGTATAAAGTTGATTTTTGTTCGTGATCATTCTCCGACCACTTATTACTTTTTCATAATTCAAATTGTTGCTGTAATTATTAATATGCCAATCAAACTTCATGACGTCCACAATTACATCCTGTATCTTTTCCGGAAATAGTCGTCGCAATTTTTGTCAGTGTCAAGGAATTTTTACTATAGACAGAACACTACTTTAAGACAATGTATTATAATTAGTTTGTTCTTAAAATTCAGCTATTAAATTGAAATGGGAGGTTTATTTTTGTGATTTTTATGAATGTTATGCCCGCTTTTATATTGAGTATCTACATATCTGCTTATCTAGATGCAAATATATTGCTTTGTGTATGTGATCTCCTTTTTATAACGTTGGGCGAGTTGTCGGCCCCTGTCGAAACGACATAAAATGTTCGGCAGTTATCAACTGATTATATCACTAATAGTTCATGATTGTTTTTTCAGCATACTTAATTATTTGCCTTTAAAATGCAGAAGGCTATTCATGACAGTGTACAATCAGAAGCATTGTGTAGAAGGCTGCAATATGACAACATTGTCGGACAAAATATCCGGCTTGGCCAAGCAACTGTCTTTACTAATGCCGCCAAAGATTTTTTTATTTTATTTTCATTTTGGTCAAATTATAACATTTGACATTGGCAGTCATCCTTTATCGTTTAAAAATAACAAACCTAGGGAACATGGTGCTAGTTTTGAAAACTGCCATCCTGATTGGACTGACTGAATAACAATGTGTCTCGCAACCACCACACATGTGTACATGCATGGTTGATAATACACAAATCTGCTCTAGATATGTCAATCAAACAAATTATGTAGTAGTTAGTATACATCTTATTTATCTTTCCCATTGACGCGATCCCCCTTTTCACTTTTCTAAACAGCAAATATTGATCAGATATTTTCCTGATTTCCCCTATTTACTTTGGGATATGAGCTACAGACATCAAAGCTGACTTTCAATCTACATGCCTATATTTTGAACACGTCACAATCTTAAAATTGTCATGATACGGAGGGGTAAGAAGCTTTAAAATAGAACATTTTCCGGTCTATACCCACAATCTTTTGTGCGTTCCACTATCTTGTTTTACGTTATCGAACGTGTTTATAATAATAATTTACATCTTCCTTATCTTAAAGCTTTTTAATGTTTTTCAATAACTTTTTTATTTACTTATTTGATCCCGTAACACGTCTCAAGCGCATCACAAAATCTATTTTTCGAGAACAGCAAGTTAAAAAATAGATATTATGAACCCATAACGGATAATTTTTTGCCACCAGTATAGAACCAGGTCAGTCAGTTCTACCGTAGTCTGATCAGGCTCTATACTGTTAGGTGACCAATCAAATTTTCACCTTGATATTCAAATTATTAATAATGGACAGTTCCAACAATGGATGGTGGACAAGTCAATATAAAAAAAATCTGCAAGGTAAAGGTTAGATATCAAAATAAGAATTGAAATATTAATATATTTGTTTTTTTTTTCAGGACAAAGACCACTATTGACTTGTTAAACGAGATACTGTTAATATCCTCACAAAATATACACATATTATATATGTATTACCTGCTACACGTATATCCCCGGCTGTAGGATGATCCATCTTCTGAATCATGCAGTTATGTAGCACCTGTTTAAAAAAATCATAATTTACGTTTATGTAGTTAGAGACTTCTGGTATTTAAACAAAAGGGAGACACTCTTCTATTTTACTAGTACATGTACTAGATTTGGTCACTAGTTCACAAACATTCTATATTAGGTTTCAATACTGAAAAATATGGAGACAAATGTCAACAAGGAAAACTTGCGTTTAAAGAACACAGTCCATTAAGAACCATGCCTGAGTCAAAAACAGACCCACATTTCAGAGGGAAGGTTCTCAGTGGAGCATCATTCAAAATACTGTAATAGAACGATTTGGACGCTAATAGACGATTTGGACGACGGAAACAATAAAAAATCCCAAAACACTACTATAGAAGAAAGCAAATGTGTATCCCAAAGTAATTATAATACATGTTTCTTTGATTTACTGTCGCAGACTGATCAGTTACCCAGCCATTATGGAAGTATCGAAAAGTAATATTAAGCATTAATCAAACAATTCCGATCTGTAACAAAAATGCATTTTAGATACAGTTTTACAGTTTTGATCACTTGTGAATACTAGCTTGTTTTTATCGACTCCAGTGAAACTGACTTGCCTCTAGTTAGTTTTTTTATGAACAAACAGTGAAAGTCACTTGCCTAGAGTCAGTTTTTATGAACAAACAGTGAAAGTCACTGCCTAGAGTCAGTTTTTATAAACAAACAGTGAAAGTCACTTGCCTAGAGTCAGTTTTTATGAATAAATAGTGAAAGTCACTTGCCTAGAGTCAGTTTTTATGAACAAACAGTGAAAGTCACTTGCCTAGAGTCAGTTTTTATGAACAAACAGTGAAAGTCACTTGCCTAGAGTCAGTTTTTATGAACAAACAGTTTAAAGTAACTTGCCTAGAGTCAGTTTTTATGAACAAACAGTGAAAGTCACTTGCCTAGAGTCAGTTTTTATGAACAAACAGTGAAAGTCACTTGCCTAGATTCAGTTTTTTAAACTACCAGTGAAAGTGACTTGCCTAGAGTCAGTTTTTTATGAACAAACAGTGAAAGTCACTTGCCTAGAGTCAGTTGTTTAAACTATCAGTGAAACTGACTTGCCTAGAGTCAGTTTTTATGAACAAACAGTGAAAGTCACTTGCCTAGAGTTCAGTTTTTTTAAACTACCAGTGAAAGTCACTTGCCTAGAGTCAGTTTTTATGAACAAAGAGTGAAAGTCACTTGCCTAGAGTCAGTTTTTATGAACAAACAGTGAAAGTCACTTGCCTAGAGTCAGTTTTTATGAACAAACAGTGAAAGTCACTTGCCTGGAGTCAGTTTTTTAAACTACCAGTGAAAGTCACTTGCCTAGAGTCAGTTTTTATGAACAAACAGTGAAAGTCACTTGCCTAGAGTAAGAATAGCCATTGAAACCCCTTTGAAATAGCAAACTTAAAGCTGGGCAAGTCCTGTACACAAATTCAGCAATATCTGGCAAGTTAAGAACAATAAAATATAGAGAAACAGAAACCGGAAAACCGTAAAAAAACGCCTAAAATGGCCAAAGTTGACTCTTTATTGTAAATCTGGTGAAACTATAAAATAAGTTTCTAGAAAATATCAAAAATAAGAGAATAGATTATATCCAAAATGAAATAATTGACAAACCTGAGGATCGGAGAAAACTTGCTGCATATTGTTGATTGGTCCGTAAGGTATCCCAGAATCCCTCAATACACACAACCAATCAGAAGTTGTCTTTAATTTGAATCTAAAACGTACAATAATATCATGATATCAATTACCGGTCTAACACCACTAAAATATTGCTAAACTACAGAGATAGTGGAAATAGTTTAACATTTAGCTCCAGTCAATAAATACAAGTAAGGTTCTACATGTATGAAGAACATTTGAGCTACGCCATGACAAAACCAACATAATGTGTTTGCGACCAGCATGGATCCAGACCAGCCTGCGCAGTCTGATCAGGGTCCATGCTGTTCGCTTACAAACCCTATTACAAGTAGATAAACTGATAGCGAACAGCGTGGATCCTGCGTAAATGCATTATGTTGGTGTTGTCATGACGCGGCTCATTTGACCTCGATGATTTTAACCAAATATCTAATATACGGAATCAGTCATGATCTAGGAACTTTAACAGGGATCTATTTTAGCCTTAGTGACCTGCACATTATAACATAAATCATTTATAAAAAGAAAAGTTCTCTGCGATACAGTTTACACTAGTCATAAATCTTACAGAATTGTGTACAAAATTTTTTTTTTTACTAAGACGCTAATAATAATTGCTTTTGTTGTTTCTGCTACATGTGTTGTTCTTGTTTTCTTTCGAAGTTTTGTTTTGTTGTTTTTGTTTATTATATGGTTGTTCTGTGTTTTTTCAAATTGTTTACCTCTTGCTTAATATGTCTATCAGCGACTTCCTGTTATGTACTCTCCGTCTGTTTGTTGCATAATCTTGTTTGTCACAAACATCGGGTAAACCTATACGCTAAACAATCGTTATTTTCTTTCGTAAGTTTTTAAGATAAAACATATATGAATCATAATAAGTAAGCTGAACATTTTCATTTGCATTGAAATGTTTATCATTTTTCATTGTGTACAAAAATCATTTTTCCCTTTAAACTTTTAATAAAATATTCAAAACAATTAATTACTGAAAGAATCCCGAACAAACACATAATTATGTAGAAAATTCAGAATATTTACAAACTGCCGATTTCTCTAAATAAAAAAAATAAATCAAAATTACATGATAAATGGCGTCCGACATTGATATATAACTATACATTTAGTGTTCTCCATCAAATAATTTACGGAGTTGAAAAGAATTACATATGAGCCGCGTCACGACAAAACCAACATAGTGGGTTTGCGACCAGCATGGATCCAGACCAGCCTGCGCATCCGCGCAGTCTGATCAGGATCCATGCTGTTCGCTTACCAACTCTATTACAAGTGGAGAAACTGACAGCGAACAGCATGGATCCTGATCAGACTGCGCGGATGCGCAGGCTGGTCTGGATCCATGCTGGTCGCAAACCCACTATGTTGGTTTTGTCGTGACGCGGCTCAAACTTCGCACATGTTTTTACCTTACAAAGAATTTCAAACTGTTTATCATTACCAGCTCCCGCCATGACATACCCATCTACTGTCTCAAACGCCTAAAACAGAAATACATGTATAACCAGGCATTAAATAAATTAAGGTCTCAAATGCCTAAAACACTGTATTAGAACACAGTCAAATTAGCAACTGATATAAGTATATTGTTATGTTGGAAACAAAGTGTTTCTTTAGTTTATGAAAGAATCTATCATGTTTATATGGCAATGAATTACATTATAAGAAATGTGTCTGCGCTAAGCTACGAGGCAATATGAGCAATTTGTGTGCGCTTAAATACTTAGCAATTTTAAAATTGCGTCCGCGCTTTGTTACGTGACAATATCAGAAAATTATCTGCGCTAAGTTACCTGACAATATAAAAATGTGTCTGTGCAAAGTTATGTGACAATATGAGAATTGTGTCGCGCTTAGCTACCTATACTGATATTATTAGAAAGATCTTAAATCAGGTTAGATTAAGTCAATTATATATCAATTATACTCATCAGGGTAAATATTGGGAATATTTATATTTATTGTAAAGAGATGAGGTGCACGCTTGTCAAAAAAAATAATAATAAAAATAAAAGAAATTGAGAAATACCGATGTGATACCTGATAAGGAACTATACTCGGATGTGACGTTCCTCGTCTATGAGCTTCCATATCCGCATTTAAATAATTGCTGGCAATATTGACTAGAGATGCTACCTGTTTAAACACGTATATAATAAATAACAATAAAAGAATATTCTTTAACTTAAAATCATGCCGACTGCAGTTGAAACCAGGTCTTCTACCAATGCAGGCCAAGATCTTAAGGTGTAATATTGACGATTTTGTCCTTACTTATTTTGATTATATTTTTCTTAAAAATAATTATTGATTTTGTATAGATTGAAAGATGACCGAGACCGTTACAGATATTTAGCGTAGAAAGGATTGGACACTTGCATACAAATTAAAAATATTTAAATGCAAATTTTATCCTAATCTTCCCATTCATTAAATCTAAATCGTCTCTATTTTACGACCACGTGCTATAGTGTTATGTCAAAATGCAATGTCCTATGGTCGCAGAGAATGACTTAAAGCCTTGTGATAATAGATTGCCTATGCAACCAGTATAAAGCCAGGCCAGCTACAGTTCCAGTCTGACGACACTTTTAATTATTGGCTACAAAGTTTCCGCTTTTTTACAATGGAACGCCTAGATATAGAAATGGGAAGTTCTAAAGTCAGTGACATTATTTAGAGTTGTTATGGTAAACGATTTTAAGGTTAAGAGGAATGGTATACCATAAAAAGTATTAGCATATCGAAAATGCTAAGAATCGGCGTTCAGGCAGATATTCGAAAAAAATATTTCCTTCATGAACAATAGAGCTAATGTTTCTTATTTTAAGAGAAACATTCCATATATTGTTTACCCCGAAGAAACCTACACAATGGTTTCGAACTTCGTGCATCAAGTTAGTATTTCAGTTCTATATATAGGCAACCCGACAAACAAGAGCTGTCCGTAAGACAGCGCGCTCGACTTTTTTATTGCTTGCCAATAAAAAAAGTTTTTGCAGTAAAAGGCAATACAAGAATCTCTGTATTTTTAAAGTGAACTAGTTGTTTGATACCCTTGAATATTACAGCAATGTTTATATGACATAATTTATGGTAAAGTGAACAAGTGGATAGGAATGAATTTTTTTAGATTTTTTAAGTTTTTTAGTGCTTGCCTATAATACAAAACATTGACAGTTAAGGGCCATAATTCAAATAAAATCTTTGACAGAATTACCTTCTCCTGGACATGTTTGGGAATCATGATTGTAAACAAGTATTCCAACTTTCAAATTAATATCTCAAACAGTTCAGTCAAAAAGTGGACTGGTACTAAAAACTTAACCAAGATTCTAAGTCGATAAAAGGCCTTAATTTTTAAAACAAATCCTTGACAGAGTTACCTTCTCTTGCGTACAGATGGGGGTAATGATGTGAAATAGCATTAAAAGTTTCAAAGCAATATCTCAAAGGGTTAAGGCAATAAGTGGATTTTACCCATATTCAATGTATTTTCTAAGTCAAAAAGGGGCATAATTCTGTCAAAAACCTTGACAGAGTTATGTCCTCTTGTCTGTTGATGAAGGTCGTGATGGTAAACAAGTATGGTCAGTTTCAAAGCAATACCTCCAATGGTTTTGAAATAAAGTGAGGTGGTACAAAAAACTTAACCAAGCTCAATACACTTTCTAAGTCAAAAAAGGGCCATAATTCTGTCAAAAACCTTGACAGAGTTATGTACTCTTGTCTGTAGATGGAGGTTATGATGGTGAACAAGTATGGTAAGTTTCAAAGCCATACTTGTAATACTTCTGAAATAAAGTGGGGTGGTACGAAAAACTTAACCAAGGTGTGACGCCAACGCCGACGCTAACGCCGACGCCGACGCCGACGCCGACGCCGGGGCGAGTAGGATAGCTCCCCTTTTCATAGAAAAGTCGAGCTAAAAATGGCTGATGGCATGCCGCGTGGTGCCGTCCATTTTGTTATCATGTGGTATTAATTTTCCGTTTTGATTGGCTTAGGGTAGGCGGTGTGTGGGTAGAAATTGTCAAATCTGGTTTATTCAAAAGATACATTTAGTTTGATAGCATATGTGCAACGTGTCTAAGTGGTTTATTTTGAACTAAGTTACTTGTATTTAGGTCACATTTATCTCAAATTAAACGTGATGCTGAATTTGAATAGTTTTATTCTGAAGAGTTCAAGGTTATCCTAAAAGGCAGTAAGGGTAGAACAATCAACTGCCGCTATAAATTTTTCACTTGAAATAATAAAAAATGCCATCGAAATTCGAACTTATTTGAATTTAGCGACCTTGATCAGTTGGTCACGAGGTCCTCAATTTTGATATAAGACGAACATTTAATAACATTATTTGTTGTATAGCTTGAAAAAAATGATAGAACAAACCTGAGTTGACAATAAATTACAATCAATATGCTGGCCACGCCCTGTTTTAGACCGATGTAAAAGCGCTGCCAAAATTGACCCGTATGCGTACAAACCCGTCGATAAGTCTGTCATAGCCACGCCAACTTTACATGGTTCGCCACCCTGTGGATTTTATAAAATTTAAGCAAATTATGCTCCCTGCGATGGCATGGGTAAATCAATCAAACAAACAAAATACAAAAGTCCTAAAACAATGTTTACATCTTAGGGTATTTTTATTATTTCACAAACAAAAATCTTCAGTGTGCTTCATGGGGCCTTTTTCGGAGTTTGACGGATAAAGACATAAAGTTACATTGTTATTTTTTTCTAGTTCTAGACTTTTTCCTTTTTTTGTTGTTGTTGTTTTTCCGGTATTTTGTTTGTTTTTTTCTGTTTACCATGTTAATATTGCTAGGCCTAATAAAAACTATTGCTACCTGCCACAAAAATCATTAAGAAATTATTTTCTTAACATGGAAAAAGAGTTTGTCAATGAGAACCGCATTTTATATTCGTTACTTTTCGTATGCTTTATTGGTATTGTACATGTATATATACACATGTTAAATGTATAAAACTTTCAAAATTTGGAGGTTTTAATCATCTTTGTATATACACTGACAATACAAATATCTTCTTTTTTAAAAATATATATACTGCTAACAATAAAAATATTTTACTGCATCCCTACCCTACCAAAACTAGCATGGGTCGCGAGAGCGTAAACAAAGATATTTTCAAGACTGGCCTAAGCAATGTATACATGTATAAACATGGGATATTAAACACTTCACCGGGAGGAAATCACTAATAACTGGATTCGGAACATTTTCCGGGGGAAAAATCACAAGTTTGTTATTGTAGCTAACAAACAAGAAACGATACAACAGGATAAATTTATGTCCACGATCTTCAGTTTTCATTCCATTATCGATCTGAATAAAGGGTGTCGCAAAGAGCTATTTATTTGGTACCAGTAAAACATTTACCAAACAAAATATGAGTCCAGAATAACGCTCCATACATTACGTGATGGCGTTATAATAATTATTATGTGGTAAAACAATGGGCTTTAATTTAACCAAATATGATCAAGTCATCAACTAATCCAATAATTAGATTTATGCTTCCAAAAAAAATGGTTATCAAAATAACAAAAACCATATCACCTCGGGTCCTGTAATATGAGTTAATCCCCCGGTGGCTGCTACGATGACGTCATATCCAGCCCGTTTGGCATCCGGTCCAGTCTGACCATACCCTGGTAACAATAAATCAAAGGTTTGAGCACATGATGTGTCCGTCATTGGTACATTACTTATTTAAGTTGGTAAACATAATACGAAATAGAAAAAAAACAATGACTTGACACGACAATAAACAATACGTTTGACAATGGACGGAATGCTCTATTTCAAAACCAGAAAAAGTTCAAAATATATAATTGATATAGACATTTAGATAATTAAGCGAGATTAAGTCAGAAAAAAAATTTCACATTTGTATTCGGACACTTTAAGAGGCAAGTTGAATCAAGCATCTACGGATTCAATCATCTACGGATGAATCTGTAGTTGATTATCGACGGATTCAATAATCGAATTTAATCACACACATGTATAACGATTCAATCGTCAAACAATTCAATTATCAACGGTTTTTACGGATCAAATCATCTACGGATTCCATCATCTACGGATTCAATCGTCTACGGCTCAATCATCAAACGATTCAATCATCTAAGTTTCAATATGCAAGAATTGATAAATATTTGTATGTTATTGAATCCTTTTTGAGTGAGCAAACCAGTCTTAATATCCGTGCTGTCTGTTGGGCTATTCCAAGATTAGCACAAATCTATGAGGGTAAAAATTGAAAGAATCTCACCTGTTATGGAGCAATAAACAAGATGGGGAGCTATTTCGGCAATGTGTTCATACCCAAGGTTAAATTCAGACAGTTTTCCTGGAATATAATTTTCAAGGAGAACGTCGCTTTTCTTGGCTAACTGGAAAAAAACAACAACTTGTGTGTTTCTGGTCGGACAGAGTCATCGTATGTATCTAAACTTTAGAGAACGACTGAAAACAGTACAGTATCAGACCATTAATTGTAGGGTTTTTTTCTTTTCTTTTCAGATACAATATTCATTTATCTACCAGATGTAAAAACGGTTTTAAATAACGTTCCAATTAATTTTGCAGCTGCAATGATCAATGATATAATGATTCGGTAATTGAAGTATAAGCGGTCGGTCAATATCGAAAAAGAATTCAGAAGTTCGCATCTGTTCAATAACTATGCATATCCACAGTTACTCTAGAATATGATCAATGTGATCAGTCAATACACTTCAACAGACATACAATCCCTTGATTAACACAATTCAAACATATCTGCATGGTCAACAAAAAACTAGAATTATTGAGTATTAATGACGTCACCTAACCGCTACCTGTTTAATCAGCTCCTGGCCTTCTTTTTCACGAATATTTACACAGACACTCTGAAAATATAGATGAAATGATTTTTTTTTAATTTTTTTTTTAATTATGTTGCTATGTTTAATTCACATCACATAATAAAAGATCAACCCCATTTTCGATGCAAATCGCCGGAAAGGGCCTAAAACTTGCAATGGCATCAGTCTAGCCACGTGTTTTTACCTTACGTGACTTTCACCACAGAGAGCACGCTAGTAAAAGGGCCATAATTCTGCAGAGCACGCAAGTAAAAGGGCCATAATTCTGCAGAGCACGCTAGTAAAAGGGCCATAATCCTGCAGAAGTGTTTGGAAGGCTTACTCTTCAAAAAAAGTTTGAAGTAAATACCTTAAACGGTTTTTGAGAACAAGGTAATTATTCTAAATTAAAATCAAAATATAATCCAAAAAATCGCATTCAGGATTTTCTGCCGCTTAGCTATACAGTGAACAAGTACTCCATGCATTAATCTTTGATATTTAATGAGAAATGCAGACTTACCTCATAAAAGGGAAACCCAAACTTCTAAGTGAAAAAAGGGGGCATAACTGAGCAAAACTGTATTACATGGTAACCAGTCTAGTCCCTTAGCAAATGCATTCAAATTTTAAAAAATTGAATAAGTATCCCAAGTTTGAAGAGATAAACTTCAAAAGTCTTTGAGATATTGACCTTTGCAAAAAAGGGCAATAACTTTGCAAAAATGATATTTATGTGTCCTTCTGTAGTTGTGTCATATTTAAAAGTAAACATGTATACCGAGTTTATAGTGAATAACTGATAAAATCTGAGAAAAGGACCATAACGAAATAAGATTAACAAGAGCAAAACAAAATTCTAAATTAAAAAACGGCATTTTGAAAAAAGAAATAGTTATAGGAACCATTTGCCCTTTAAAAAGTGTGCAATTTTATGACAACAAAACGTGTATACGAATAGTTATGCCGGTATCTAAGAAAATGGACCTTAGAGGAAAGGTTAATCAACGTCAACGCCCACGAGAGGGTAGTGACAAAAGATCTTTTTTTTTCTCCCAACAGTGGAGCTTACAAGAAAAAAAGAGTTAAAACGTCAGATAATTACAATAAGACTATTTAAGATATGGAAAGCCATGGCTGTTTTATATTGTTTTTGTTTATTTAAATTGATATAACCATGTGAATTATATATAAGTGCACTTCGACTTTATATGAATTGAAAACACCTAATTAAATGAAAGTGAATATATGAAACCATGCCGTCAGTGTATGAAATCAAGTAAGCAAAACATAAGTTGATTTTCTCATTATATGATACCAATTCTTCAATATATGGTACCAAAGTAGCCATATATGGAACCAGATATCTTCCTTATATGAATCCGAATTATCAACACATTAACTAATTTTTACATTTATCAACTGGTTTCATATGTTCATATTTTATAAAATGAAGTAATATATTGATAATTCGGTTTCACATAAAGACATCTGGTTCCGTACATGGCTACTTTGATACCATATACTGAAGATTTGTAATCATAAACATATAAGACAGGCATGACTTTCCATATAAAAGAGTCAAATAAATTGGTTATAAAAATTACATGTACCATAATGCATATTTTATATCACGAGATGAGGAATAGACCGGATTTCTTAAAGACGTTAAAAATCTAATTGTGAAATGACATAGACGTTACTTTTCTAAATGTCAAAAGACAAACTTTAATAATCTAAATGTCAAATGACATTCCTTTCAATATCAATATCTTTTATTGTCGTCTACAGTTGATCAGTGTAGTTCATTGTCCTGGAATTGTTAATTTGACATTGACGTATTTTGAATTTGATAACACACTATGTACATAAAAAATCAAATAAATTTCTGTTTAACTTCGTTCTCAGACATCTTTTTTGCAGTCTTATGATGATCCATGTACATATAGATGTATTTATACATGTAAAAAGTAGCCTACAAAAAGAGAACGTTGCCGATTTATACGCCCATCATGTGACGCACCTAAAATTCTCTGCTAAATCTCTATCATAACTACCAAATGAATACTTAATTTTACTAGAACTTTTTTCCCAAATACATGTATTTACCCGCTTGTTTCTGTTCACGGACAGGAAGTAAGCACTTTCGGAGCCACAAAATGGTGGACCCCAGAACCTCGTGTCATCCCCGCCATCTATAAACCAAAATGATTATTTCAAAAATCCATCTCTGAACATGCCCTATACTGCAGTATATCTACACTATAATATTCGGTCGGTACATATTTTCCCTATATATATATAATTTTTTTGCCTAGATTGAAAAATTGACAAGTTCATTTAAAATATTTAGCGTGGTAAGAGCTAATTAGATATCCAGGTACCTAAGACACCATGGCAAAATATCTGCTCTTTATTCATCGGCCATCTTGGGCAGTTTCAAAGCTCGAACCGCGATCTGATGGGCAAGAGCTTTGATCTGAGTGACCTTAACTGCTCGGATTTTAAGGTTTATCAGCTAAAAGATACTGATAATAATTATTAGGTTAAGGCAGTTTGTTTTGCCTTTCAGATATATATTTATCTGGTATACTGTAAGTTTCACTATTTTGTACCACTTGCATACTAAAACGAAACAAATATATAATGAATTTCAATAGATTTAACAGATTCCAATTACCATACAGCTCCTTACCATCTAAACGCAGAACAACGCAGAGCGGCTCAACGGCCTATTTATCTGAACATTACCTACACTTAATAGCAGACAAATATTTGTATAAATAGATGACAACTAACCTGGATTTTCAACTTTTATAACATCGGCTCCAAGATCCCCCAAAATCATTGAACAATATGGACCTGCCAACACCCTGCAAAACATATCAATCAAATTGATGTAGTGATATTAAGTTTCTTACCGAAAATTGCCATACTAAATGACACCAAAGTTTATCAAATATGTATTTCAAACCTTATTTTACCGGTTTAGGAGGTTCAAAAATTACAAACGAGATGTCATACAAACTACGCCCTTAATATATGGAATAATTTTGCTCATTCGAATGAAAGAAATACTGAATTCATCAGTCAGGTATTTCTATTTTTATTAACCTTCACCACCCTCGAAATTTTAAATAGACACGCCCTTTCAATGGAAACCTTCAAAATACTGAAAAGCGAACAGTGAAGAATAAAATAATTGAAGACCTATAATAAACAAATGTCAATAAGTCACCCATTATAGTTTGCCCATTATATGTTATTTGGATGACAGTTCACAAATGTATGTTTACTCTCTGCCGAGAGACATCGACATGTTTTTGTAGTCCAAATTTACTGAAATATGTAAGTACTGTCGTTTTGCTATTGGGTAGTTAGTCTCTCCGACAATGGAATGGTCATATGGTCACTTCCCAGCTTTACTGACGGAGGAAGATCTCATGTGCAACTCAATACGAGCATTATTTCAGAAAAGTCATCAACGCACCGTAGGCTAGCTGTATGGATAGTGGTTAGCTTTCTCAGATGAAAGGACGTAAGAGGAGCGGGTCTTGAACCCACAGCGGTGTATAACTAGAAAATAGTTTGGAATCAACGACCTTAACCACCCAGCCATTAGCGCCCCATCTTTCTTTGTAACAATTAAGATGAACTTTTAAATAGTCATTGCGTGTAAAGGGATGATGCCTGTGAACAGTAAACAGCCATCACTTTCCTACATGACATCCTTAATGTTCTTAATAAAGAGATTCCGGATTAATACGAGCATATCATGGATGAAAAGTAACATCACATCTTGCTGAAATTTAAAGGGAAATAATTTATATTATGATAATTGAGCCGTGTCATGACAAAACCAACATAATGGGTTCGCTATCAGTTTCTCTACTTGTAACAGGGTTTGTAAGCGAACAGCATGGATCCTGATCAGACTGCGCGGATGCGCAGGCTGGTCTGGATCCATGCTGGTCGCAAACCCGTTATGTTGGTTTTGTCATGACACGGCTCATTATTATATAATACCTGCTTAAGTCGAGAATTCTCGTGCCGTTTAATGGACCTTTCTGTAGCTCGACACTGGCGTTATTCTTGTACCTAGCCTGATATTTCCTTATCACGGTGCAGCGTACTAAAAAATAATAGATAATACATAAAGAAGGAAAGTCACTGATAATACGTACATGAAAAAATCACATGGAAATCGACCGGGTCACGAAGTACTCAAATTGGGTAATTAAATATCAGCAACATAGGGGACCTACATAACACAGCTAATAAAAGATCTATAATGTAGTTTCCAACAAAATATCCATATTCTGGTCTGCATCTTGAACTGATGTATAATGTATATTCTGTATAATATACGACAATGACCAAGAAAGATAAGATTTAAAAAATTGTCATTAATCTGCAAACATGCATGCTGCTTTAACAGGAAAGGGTGAACTTAGTACTGTAGTTTAATGAGGTCTTTAATATTATATTGTCTTCAATAACAAGATTACCCCCATTTTCGGGGTTTTTTTATTAACAAAACATGCAAAAATACTACACTATTCCTATTTAGTAATTTGCTCAAAACTAATACATGTAAATCTGTATAATTATTAAAGAGTATATATGAGCCGGTTTAATTATACAAGAAAGAGTTCACCTGCTTTATTCAGTAAGTGACCCCTGACTGAAAGACAAGCCCAACATGCCGTCATCATTACGTGACTAGGAATACAAAAGATAAAAACCATGTTAAACATAAATTATACATATACTTCTCATTAACATTTGATTTTCAATAGTTGCAGTATACTTTTTTATTTAGAAATGGTATGTATTTTTTTTATAACATACGGGTCAATATTACAGTCATGCATATTTGTATATACAAGTAAAATACTAGTAATTTAGGTTGATAATCTAAATCACCTATGATCAATAAAATAATGAAGTTTTCACTATGGCATTTAGATAATTTCTAAAATGCATATACAATGTATAATATAAGTAGGCGTCTGGCGTCTTGTCTGTTAATTGACTGAATTCTTTCCAAGAGTAATAAGTTTAATCAATTTAAAGGAATAAAAAGGTGCGTGCACTTTTGAAAAGATAACTTAAAGACCTGACTAACAGTCGCATTGTGAAATGACCAAAACTGGTTAATATCGGCGTCTAAGGTAAGTAACCGCGGTTTATCTATCTTGAATGTCATTATTTAGAATATCTGCGCAACGTAGACCGTTATTTCAAAAGATAAATAAAAGCACATTAAAATTACGTACTTGAAAGCTACCGAAGCTTATTTTGACCAAGCATGCATACTGTCCTATTCACATGAATTGCATTAAAAATAACATTTTACACGGAGAAGTAAAATTTAAAAGGTCTTACCTTCGTTGTTTACCTGAATTGTTTTTCGTAGTTGTTTCCCTTGGAATGGACTTGAAATAATGAGGCCCGTCCATTGTGCAGTGCGTAAACGTGTTGAAAATTTCCCTTTGCCCTTTACTTGGTATTCCAGTCTATAAAGGTTACAACTGAAGATGCATCGAATATAGTATGTCTGTACAATGTGTTGTTTAATGAGCAGTAGAATAATAATAATAATAATATTATTAATAATAATAATAATAATAATAATAATAATAATAATAATAATAATAATAATAATAGTAATAATAATAATGATGATGATGATGATGATGATGATGATGATAATGATGCTGATGATGACGATTTCTTCGTAAAAAAACTAACAGTATATTTTGACGCGTGAAAGAAGAATAATAATCAATTTTATTATTCGACATGATTATCGTCATTTAAAAATGAGCAATGTGACGATCATCATTGCCATTATTGCCATTATTATCACTATTATTATCACTATTATTATCATCATCATCGCAATCAATGTACTTCTGCTCAGCATCACTATCAACATATAAACAACATATTTTTTCTTCAAATCATGGTAACTTTTATCCGTATTCTATCAGCAGCAGCATGGTAATCATCATCATCATCGTCGTCGTCGTCGTGGTCGTTGTAATCATCACAATAATTTAAATTCTTATTGCATATATGCGTTTCGATTTCAAAACTGATGGCAAATATGCCAAATTCATTTCCCTGTATCCACTTTTTGCGTGACTGTGACAAAATCGGTCTGGGTATCATTTCTATTTGCTGTGCATTTCAACATTGAATGATACACGTGAAAACATATTTGGTATGTGACTTATGCGGCACAAATGTGCTCATTAAAGGGGGATACTTTTGTTGTTTCTTTATTAGGAGACAGCCTGACTTAAACATGATATTCCTTTTTGCAGTATTGGGGAGTATAGCAAAGCTTGATTTCCTAAAGTTTTTATTTGTTTGGGTCGTCAGACCAAACAAATAATGGTATCGAAATTTCAGACCCTGATGCTGTTAATTGCAAATGCAGAAAGCGGTTACTTCCCTTTATATGTACACTAACGCGGAAAATTCAGGGGAGATCACTGCATAAGATTGTCAAATGACAGGCGCATTAATTTTCAAGCAAAAAAGTTCCCGAATGGTCGAAGATTTCTAATATTGTTTTATTTTTGATAGTATACATGCTTATAGTAAGCTCCATGATTATTTACATCCGTTTTAAACAACAGGTTTAGCGTCGAAATAATAAGAGTTACAAACCTTTATTTAGAATTATATGGTTTTCTTCAGGCCGTTAACATATAACTTCACCGTGGCCGATGGGTTTGCATGCTCGCTTAGCAATCGAGAAGTCTGGAGTTTAAATCCAATTTAAGGCAACTCATATTTTTAATTGTTTAAGTAAAAAAACAACATGAAATTGAATATCAGTGTTGCAATTAGTCTTATATCCAATTTTCTATTATAAAGCATTGGTGGCACTATACAAAAACAAATTGGTTTATAATCTCACGGCCTTCATCTTTCTGACACCCAAACAAATTCAGCGCCTTCTGTGCTTTGATTTTATAATAGTTTAAAAGTTCGAACCCGGAAAAACGCTAACATCAAGACCATCCCAATTATTTTGCTTGTGTGCAGGTTTCATAATATCTGAAAGGAATATAGATTTTTTTTTGAAAAGATACATAAATTAATTCTATTGATAGATCCATTTTTCAACCTCGAACATTTTAACAATGCCCCCTTTCATTGTCATAGTCCTTTACCTACCGACTTGAAGGTGAAATACCAAGACTACAACTAAATACTCCTAACTCGTACTAACTTCGAACTATTTTACCATCTTCTCCCGTTAATGTGTGCTTGTTTTGTTTTGCTTTTTGTTGTTTTATTTATTTATTTATTTATTTATTTATTTATTTATTATAAATTTTATCTTTTTATTTGTTTTGTTTTTGTTTTGTTTTGTTCATATTGGGGATGGGTTGTTATGTCTTTTCTTCTTCTTGTAGAATGAACGTTACATAAAAATATTATCAATATTATAAATGTATCTTTAATCTCTAGATCTCGAAGTTTATCATAAGAGGATTAAATTTTGATCATCAAACCGTCTTTTATCAGTTCACTATACTAACCCAATGTTAACATAAATTTGAAAATTTGAGAAATGTATTGATTTTTTAAAGTTCAAACTTACAAAAGAATGCCATGTTTGCACATTTATATCGCCCCATCTTATTAACTATTGACAGTCGATATCTTAATTGTTCTATGTTTACATTTTTGCTAAGCTACTATCCAAACATCTATACAACCTGCGTGGTGAATTTTCAAATAAAGGTCTTTTTCAAATCATCAAAAAGCTATTATTGACCTATTTAAAATGTGCGCTTGTGAAATATTACTTGAATCACCAATTCGATCAATCACCATCAGTATATTCATTGTCGTTGTTGTAACCTTTATCATCGTCACCGTTATCATCGTTACCGTTATCATCGTCACCGTTATCATCGTCATCGTTATCATCGTCATCGTTATCATCGTCATCGTTATCATCGTCACCGTTATCATCGTCACCGTTATCATCATCATTTTCAACAATGCCGTCGTGTTCGGAATGAACTCTAGACGCTCAACTCAATTCAACTCGATAATTGTGAAGTGATCAACTCGATTTTCAATGCAAATAAATGCTCTTGTGACGATCTACCCCATTCTTAAGTAAACTCAATGTATATGTGGGGACCAACTCAAGGTCAACATTGCAATCAAATGTTCATGTGTCTACCAAATAAATCTTCACGTAGGGGTCAACTGCATCTTCGAGTTATTATAAAAATCATTTTATGTTGACCGACTTATTGTTCATGTGATGATCGACTTAATGTGTAAGAAATTTTTTTTTCTTCTTTTTTTCTTCATGGCCACCATTGTTATGTGTACGCGTCGACAATTGACTGTCGGTGACTGAATTCCTTCTGCGCTACCAAATACATTCCTAAAGTTAATCTATTTCAGCTTATAAAAAAAACTTTTTTTAAGAAGAAACACATGTACAAGGTCAATTGGCAACATAGTATTAACGGTTTTGTTAATTTCAAGATATTTGCCCTTGAATATACCGATAATATTAATTAAAAGATTAGCCGAGGGTCGTCCAGATCATTGTGCATATTTGACAAGGTTGTTACCGGGCATAATGATTTTATCGCTTTTTAAAATTGTATATTCCTCTCCTTATTGCAGTACGGTAATTATGTTTATAATTTGTAAAATAATGAAGTTAAAAATATATCGAATGCTTCTATAATTGAAAGCAAAACAAGTTTTATTCTTTCAATGTAAAACAGGGATTGATAAATTGTTCCTTCCTTTATTGTGTTTATGTACTTTTAGAATAAACACGGTGGACAAATGTATTTTAACTGCAACAGCTATTTCACATTGAATCTGTCGTTTTGTTGCTGTTGTTTTTTCCCAAAATGAATGGAGTAAAGATTCGGATTACATAACGATTTCGTAAGGAATGTTTCGGAAAATGCCGAATGAAAAAAGGCTAAAATGTTACCATTCAGAACACATAATCGAATATCCATAAATCCTTAAACGGAGATTGGCGGAAAGGGTCACAGAGTTACGACTGAAGTCATATTTTTGTCGGACAAAACTTATATGACATATATAATTATTTTGTCTTCCTGTATTCAATTTGGCCAATCACAGATCTTGATTTATACCTACCTAACTATGGCTCAATATATAACCAATACGTACATGTACTTTTATGTCAATGATTTCAAGAAACTTTAAGTGTATATTGTAATATATAACGGTGTCGAGAGCCGTGACAATTTAAATTATCGATATTGAAACAAGTCTAAATTCTAAAGGTACTGCGAGTTATTCAATGTCGCACAGCCAGAATCTTTTAGTTAGTAAGTTAGTTAGTTAGTTCGTTTGTCCGTTCGTTCGTCCGTTCGTTCGTTCGTTTTTGTTGCTTTCATTTTTCAATTTATCTTAAAAAGTGAAAATGACTCCTTTAAATGTTGAGGAGGTGAAGTCCCCTGTTAGCAAGGGCAATAATAATAAAACAATTCAAATGAATATTAAAGATGTCTTGATAACACAGGTTACATGGGAAATTTGCGATTACAAAAAAGTCAATTTAGGTTATTTGTGATAACAAATAGCTAATTAAAAAGTTATCTGCGATATCAAAAGTCAATTAAAGATGCACTCCTTTCAATTCTTTATCAAGTTTAAAGTTTATTGGAAAATCGACAATGAACATTACCATTTACGTTACATGTATATCGCAAAGACATTTAACATATTACGTTTTTAAACTTATACAATCAAACAAATATACAAAGAAATACAAGTTAATAAAAATCACTTTTATACTTGAGAGATAAGCATTTGATTTTAAGAAGCTTTGAGAAATTCTAAATAATTTGTATCTACACCTATAAATCTCGCTCTTTTGAAAAGTTTAATTTTACTTTTTGTTGACATAACCTGCTTTTGACGTTTCGCCGTGTGATATTTCCTAAGTAATGTCTTCTTTTAGAATAAAAATCATTATATTTAGTGCAACATTGCAAAAAGTGGTATTCAGATTCAATAACATTTTGTTTACATAATAGATAGTTATAATATTTAGGTAATATACTTCTGATTCATTGGTACATTACTTACAAACAAACTACAACAATTAAGATCATACACATTTATGTTAGCCCAATATTGTGAAGAAAGTGACACTTCCAAAGATCGTTTCCTGGAACTTGTGTTCGGATACCATGGAAACACAGTCGTGTTCAAACTGACGATACCGGGGTTCAGATACAGACAGGTAGCTAATAAACCATCTCTTCCCAATTTCAGTTAAATTTTTGTGTGTTGTTGTTGTTTTATTTTATAATATTAGATTAGAACAAATACCTTTATTCCAATCATTACACACAAAATAAACACATTTAAAACACTTAAAGGAGTCACCGGTTTGTTAGACCATTGTTTACATCGTTTATAATCCGAATCCATTGAAATATGGTTAATTTGAGTGCTATAAATG